CCAGAGCCCAGCAGATCGAGGCTGCGGTGGCCGGGAGCGGCCACTGCACTCCAGTCTGGGCGACAGAGTGAGACTCCAACTCAAAAAAAAAAAAATGTACCTTTAGGCTTGGCATGGTGGCTCATGCCTGTAATCCCAGCATTCCGAGGCGGGAGAATTTCTCAAGCCCAGGAGTTAGAGACCAGTCTAGGCAACATAGCAAGACTTCATCTGTACAAAAAAATCAAAAAACTTAGCGAGGTAAGATGGTGTGTACCTGTGGTCCCAGCTACTCAGGAGGCTGAGGCAGAAGGACTGCCTGAGCCCAGGAGATCTGGGCTGCGGTGAGCCGTGATGGTGCCATTGCATGCCAGCCTGGGTGACAGTGAGACCCAGACTCACACACACACACACACACACACAAAGCCTTTAAAAAACTTTTAAGTTAAGATTTTACCAATTTGGCCTTTGAAAAATTGTGCATTTCAGGAATTTATTTTTTAAAGAAAATAATAAAGCACAAAATTATAATGGTTCAGACTTGCATCTTAGCACCAAAATCCACCATCCTAATGCAAACATAATGAAGTCACTCAACTTGGCTTTAAATGTATTCCTTATTTATTCTGCCTCATAAATGTCATTAGCCACTTGTTAGAACATAATTTACCGCTCAGTTTGAAATAAACAGTCTCAAATAAGGTCAACATATAAATGATATTACTCTGAAATTATTTAAATACCAACAAAAGTTCTACAAGGAGAACTAAAAAAGACTGTGTTCCAGGTATGTTAAATTTTCGTGACGCTTGATTCACAGAGGACTTCCAGAGAATTTGGAATTAGGTTCCCTCAGAACTCATTTTGTAACGTCAACAATTAACCATCTGAGGTTGTATCCTGAGCGATTTCAGATATGGGGAGAATTCGGGGCCAAGAAAGACAAAAACTCCAAGCTGATCCTGGAATACTGTCAGGAAGGCCGGGGTGTTCTATTTTGTTTTGTTTGAGTCAGGGTGTTACCCAGGCTGGAGTGTAGTGGCACAATCATGGCTCACCGCAGCCTCGACATCTTGGGCTCAAACAATTCTCCTGTCTCAGCCTTGGAGTGGCTGGAACTATAGGCACGAACTACCACGCCTGGCAAATGTTTTGATTTTTTTGTAGAGCCAAGGTCTCACTGTGTTGCCCAGGCTGGTTTCAAACTCCTGGCCTCAAGCAGTCCTTCCGCCTTGGTCTCCCCAGATGCTGGGATGACAGATGTAAGCCACCGTGCCTGGCCAGGACTGTGACATGATGGTTGTTTAACAAGCAGACCCCTATAAGTTGTGTTATATTTTATTGGAGAATGACTGAGAGAGCAGAATGGCATTAATCAACTAAGGCCTGGTGATGGTTCATTTTATGTGTCCAAATAGCTGACCAAACATTCTGGATGTTTCCGTGAGAGTATTTTTAAGAGAGGTTGAGGTTAACATTCAAGTTGGTGGCTTTATTGATTTATTTATTTATTGAGTGAGTACACAGAATTTATTGAGAGGACAGAAAAGCTCTCACAGTGGGAGAGAACCTGAGGGGGTTGCCTAAGTTGGTGGATTTAAATAAAGCAGGTCATCCTCCCTCACGGGGGTGGGCCTTATCCAATCAGTTGAAGGCCCGAGTAGTACAAAAAGGCTGACCCTCCCCCAGGTAAAAGGGACCTCTCTAGGGGACGGCCTTTGGACTTCAGTGAGAATGGCAGCCCTTCCTGCTCGATGGCCCTCGAACTGGACCACCAGCTCTTCCTGGGGTCCCCCACACCGGGGGCTCACCCGGTAGATTTGGGACTCCCCAGCCTCCGTCATCATGTGAGCCAATCCTTAGAGTAAATCTCCCGTTGGTTCTGCTTTTCTGCAGAACGGTGACGAACCCAGGCCTGGCGAACGAAGAAAGGCCCCGGGGCCCACCCTAGGACGAGAATTGAAATCTATCGGGCCATCCCAGGTACCATCGCAACGCCATCCCAGCAAGGGTGACGGCTTAGCGTGCATCTCTACAGAGCAACGAAGACCACGTCACCTTCCCCGTCCACCTCCTCCACTCACCAAATAACCTCATGATCGGACTTCCCACAGAAGTAGCAGCGTCAAAAGGAACTCAGTCTGCAGGGTGAGGACCTGACACAACAGCAGCGACATGATCGCAGGACATGCCAGGTCCAGGGTCCTGTCGCGATGCCCGCCGGGCTTGCTGGCGCGGCCTCCTCCCCATCGCCTCGACCCCACCCCTGAGCATCTGGAAGCACCACCGCACCCAAGACTTCTCTACAAAACGCGCCTGTGCCTCAGCGGTGTTTACAGGCTTCACACACCACCCTGCCGTCCGATTAACTTTATTATTTGAACGGAAACACGGCTGCAAAAGGGGCAGGGGCGGGGTAAATGTCCATCGATGCGTCTCATTCCCAACACCCTAAAGCTTTATGGCCACTTGAGGAAGCTGGAGAGCTGGGGCACGAAGTAATCCTTGTAGTGTCCGTCGATGAAACCCTTCCCGCTGTTGTGCACAAACCAGCAGGGAACATCTGTCCCAGACACCAGATCCGTCCTGTAGTCTTTCTGTAAGCCCCTGGGAGGAAACGGGGTGGGAGGGATGGTCAGGGAGCAGACCGAGGTGCGACTGGCTGGGTGTGTCTAGAAACAAGGCACCCTCTTTCTCTTGCTGTTCTTTTTTTTACAGTTATGTTCATTCATTCATTCGTTCATTCATTTATTTTAGAGACAGGAGTCTCGTTACGTTGCCAGGCTGGCCTCAAACTCCTGGGCTCAAGTCATCCTCCTGCCTCAGCCTCCCAAACTGCTGGGATGACAGGTGCGAGCCGCCTCACCCAGCCTCAACTTCAGATAGCTTATTATTACCTTTTTTAAAAAAATAGAGATGGCAGGCCAGGCACAGTGGCTCAGTCTTGTAATCTCAGCACTTTGGGAGGCCGAGGTGAGAGGATTGCCTGAGCCCACGGGTTCGAGAACAGCCTGGGCAACTTGGCAAGACCTCATCTCTACAATAAAGCAAAAACTTAGCCAGGCGTGGTGGGCCTGCCTGCAGTTCCAACTACTTGGAAGGCTGAGGAGGAAGGATCACCTGAGCCCGGTAGGTCGAGGCTGCGGTGGCTGTGAGCGTGCCACTGCACTCCAGCCTAGATGACAGTGAGTGAGACTCTGACTCCAAAAAAAAATAGAGATGGCGTCTCACTTTGGTTACCAAGTCTGGTCTCAGACTCCTGGCCTCAAGTGATCCTCCCGCCTCATCCTCCCAAAGTGCTGGGATTATGTGCACGAACCATCATTAGCATTACTCACTTCTGCACACCATCACTCCTATAAGCCCTTCTCACTGATGCCCGCTGGGACCTCACTGCTCTCTGATCTGCTGCTACCAGTTGCGTGATAACTCACTAAAAATCCATTGTTTTAGCTCACAAATCTACTTTGGTGGTGATACTTATTGTAATTTTATGGTTTATAATTGGAATGTAATTATTGATCAAGTGCATGAAAGCCAATGGCATTTGTCTATAAGATGAGTCATTACCAATAAAGTGAAATTAGCTGCTTTAAAAAAGACTCTAAAAAAAAGGCAAAAAAAAAAAGAAAAATGAAAACATTATACATCAAAACGAAATTTTAAAGAAAAAAAGCTTTAACAAGATATTGAATTAGGCACGAGTGGGACAACTGTAAAGAACTGGGGAAAATATAAAGATGTGTAAGAATTTTACACTCAATACAAGTGCCAGTCGGGTTCGGTGGCTCAGCCTGTCATCCCAGCACTTTGGAAGGCCAAGACGAGTAGATTGACTGAGCTCGTGGGTTCGAGACCAGCCTGGGCAACTTGGCGAGACCTCGTCTCTACAATAAAGCAAAAATTAGTTGGGCATGGTAGTGCACGCCTGTAGTTCTGGCTACTTGGAAGGCTGAGGCAGAAGGATCACCAGAGCCCAGCAGGTCGACGCTGGGGTGGCTGTGAGTGTGCCACTGCACTCCAGCCTGGACGACGGAGTAAGACTCCAACTCAAAAAAAAAATACAAGTGTCTAAGCTCTCACTTCAAATGGAGCGTATGTATGTTTTGTGTAAAAATAAGCTACAAAAATGCAACCAAAAGATCCATACTCAGAAGGAAGGCTCTGGCCTTGTATACAAATATGCATTCACGAGTTTTGAAGTCTTTGGGATTAAAAAAAAAAAAAAGCATTCATTCTCTCGCACTATGGTGCGATGTAGGTATTTTTATGATTCGCTTTTTAAAAAAAATTCAGAGTCTCACTTTGTTGCCCAGGCTGGAGTGCAGGGGCCACAATCATGGCTCACCACAGCTTTGACCTCCTGGGCTCAGGGGATCCTTGCACCTCAGTATCCTGAGTAGCTGGGACTACAGCCTTGCATGCACCACCATGCTCTGCTAAATTTTTTTGATGTATTATAGAGACAAGGTCTCACTATGTTGCCCATGCTGGTCTTCAACTCCTGGGTTCAAGCTGTCCTCTCCTCTCAACCTCCCAAAGCTCTGAGATTACAGATATGAGCCACCATGTTCTAACCCGCTTTTTTCCGTGATCCAACTTGTGACCACAGGGCTTCTGATACATGACGATGAGAAAAACAGGCTAATTAGTCGTGGCATCACATGACACATACTTATATATCTAGTCATTATTTGCATGTAAGATGAACCGTCAGAGCCGTCCTTATGCAAATCCAGAGCACGTGTCTATTCCAACTAGCTTGTTTAGCTTGGCGTGGTGTGCTCACAGCACCTTTTCTTGTTCTTCTGTTGTGCTGTGTAAGTCCACGTCTAACGAGAACCCTTTTCGTTACTGTCTTACCTGGTGACAATCAACCTCTGTCCTTTTACTTCCATGCTGGCCTCTGGCTTCTCGGGGTCCTTTCCTGGTCTCTCACTGAAAATGCGTATCTTTGGCTCCTGCATGAACTGACCTAGAAAGAAGAATCGAGGCATGTATTTACATGTAAACTAAGGTTACGTCGAAAGACAGGCTGGCCGTTAGATCCAAGATACATTGTGGGCCTCCCTCCAGAATTTCTAGGGTAGGAAGGCGAGTCTAGAAGGAAAGAAGTGGCGATGGCAGCGAGGGGAGCTTCCTGGGAGCAAACTCGGGCTGCTTGTGAGCATTTTATACATAAGATTAGTTTACTGGACCGTAAGTTGACAGACCACACCCGTGGCAGGGATGAGGTTAGCAGCTGAGGGGATAGCTCGGACCACAGGGATAAGGTATGTTTGTGACGTCATGTGCTTACATTTAAACCCTTCGTAAAATACTAGGGACGGTTGTCCAGGCTGCTTTGTGTGTTATAATTTTCTGAATCTCAACTTCCTTATATTTAAGAATGATAGGCCGGGCTCGGTGACTCAGCCTGTATCCCAGCACTTTGGAAGGCCTAGGCGAGTGGATTCCCTGAGCCCGCGGGTTCAAGACCCGCCCAGGCAACTTGGCGAGATCTCGTCTCTACAATAAATCAAAAATTAACCGGGTTGTGGTAGCGCACGCCTGTAGTTCTGGCTACTTGGAAGGCTGAGGTGGAAGGATCGCCAGAGCCCAGCAGATCAAAGCTGCGGTGGCCGGGGGCGTGCCACTGCAGTCCAGTCTGGGCGACAGAGTGAGACGCCAACTCAAAAAAAAAAAAGAATGATAACCGGGCATGGTGGCTCCCACCTGTCATCCCAGCACTTTGGGAGGCAGAGGCAAGAGGATTACCTGAGCCCAGGGGTTCGAGACCAGCCTGAGCCACATGGTGAGACCGCATCTCTGCAATAAGTAAATAAATATATTAGCCGAGTGTAATGGCACGAGCCTGTAATCCCAGAGACTTGGAAGGATGAAGTGGAAGGATCACCTGAATCCAGAAGTCAAGGCTGCAGAAGCCATGAGAATGCCGCTGTACCCCAGCCTGGGTAACAGAGTGAGACTCCAACTCAAAATAATTAAACAAATGAATGAATGAATTACTTGAATCAAAATTTAAATGATTTTAAGTTTTACGTTGATGCCACACCTGTCTGGATTCATTTAGCACACTTCCTAAACTTGTTCGCCTCTCTTCAGTTAGAAAAAAAATCTTCAGCATAAAACTTAAAACTGAAGATGAACATGGTATCTCACGCCCGTAATCCCAACACTTTTGGGGGCTGAGGTGGGAGGAGCACTTGAAGTCAGGTGTTCAAGACTAGCCTGGGCAACAAAATGACACCTTATCTCTACAAAAAATAGAAAAATTAGCTGGGCGTGTTGGGGCCCTCGTGCAGTTCCAGCGACTTGGGAGCCTGAGGCAGGAGGCTCACTCTAATCTGGGCAACAGACTGAGTCCCCCAGCTTAAAAAAAAAATTGATCTGTCCTTTGTCATGCTTGCCCGATGTGTGATGCTGCAACCCTGGCCCTGGAAACCCTCTGTGCTCCTGAGTCTACATCTGCCACCTTCCCAGCTTCTTTTTAAAATTTCTTATTGTTTAATTTTGATTTTTTAAAGAGACTTTTTTCTTGTTTTTGGAGACAGGATCTCTGTTACCCAAGCTGGAATGCAGTGGCACAATTACGGTTTACGACAGCCTCTACCTCCTGGGATCAGGCAATCCTTCCGCCTCAGCCTCCCAAATAGCTGCAACGACAGGTGTGCACCACCATGCCCAGTTAATTGTTGATTTATTTGTAGAGCCGAGGTCTCACTATGTTGTTTAGGCTGGTCTCGAACTCCTGGCCTCAAGTGATCCTCTCACCTTGGCCTCTCAAAGTGCTGAGTGCTGGGATGACAGCCATGAGCCACGGCACTCGGATGAGACCCATTTTTCAAAATGGGTCTCGCTATGTAGCCCAGGCTGGTCTCAAACTCTTGGCCTCAAATGAGTCTCCTGCCTCAGTCTCCCAAACTGCTGGGATTATAGGCAAGAGCTACTGCACCCAGCCTCATGTCCCCACTTCTAACTGCTGTCATCCAACTCTGCTAAGGATCCAGGGGGTCCCACCCCTCCCAGAACCCATGTGCCTTAGGTGAAAACTTACCTATGAGCCCATGTGCCTTAGGTGAAAACTTGTCTGTAGGGGGAACATAGATCCCCAGGAAGTCTACATTGACCGGGTGCTTCTTCCAAACACGATGAAGTAAGACAGAAAAGGACATCCCTTTATCTGGGGTGACAGTCACCACTTTTTCCTTCTTCACCGAGATACGCACCCTGGTGTGAACAGAGGGAGTTACAACATGCCCAAATGGACCTTTTCGGAAAGTCATTTTTCTCCCCCAATATGAACTCTCCCTGCCTCCCAGCACGATTCCACTTGTTTTCTAAGTGCTGGACAATGTGTTTGCCATAGAATGCTGTTGATTCAGCGCCTATCTTGAAAACTCTGCCTATGTGCAAGTTTGCAAATAAAAACTCAGGTAACAGACACTGGGAAGATTCTGCATATAGGACACACTCAAGTGTGTTCGGAGCACACTCTCGGACATAGAGTTGGCTGGGGATTACAGTTGGAGGATTCGTTTGCTGGTCAACACACACACAGAGCACTCACTAATGACAGACACTAGGCTAGACCCAAGACACAGCAATCACGGTCCAACAATGACCAAAAACACAGTCCCTGTCACTGGGAGCAGGGTGGTGGGTGAGAACAATTTTTGAACCTCAACTTCTTTCTGTTGAAAATGGTGGTTTTAAGTTTTCTGTCAACGCCGCTGATATCTGGATTCATTGTTGCAGTCGTGTGTCAAGGTCAGGCAGAATTCAGATGGAGCAGTACTCACCTCTGATTAATGACGTGTGCTGTGTCAGCCCAGGACAAGACGGATGTATGACCCCCTTGGGCCAGGGTGATGGTCTCAGTGCTGATTTCTATTTTCAAGTCTTCATGCTGGAAATAAAATCCCAGTTTTCCAAAATAGGTGCTTAGTTTTCCATGGTTGGGCTTCTTGGCACCAGTGAGCTGACCATTGACTGCAATTCCTGCAGAGAAGAAACATGCCTGTCTCTCTTGTGTGCCATATTTTTGGTATGTGTGGCAACCATGATTCAAATTTATAAAAATTGGCAATATGGGGAAATTAGTATAATTTTGCATCAGGTTTGCATAACTTTTTTTTCTTTGTGATTCTTTTTTTCTTTTGAGTCGAAATCTCACTCTGTTGCCCAGCCTGGAGAGTGCAGTAGCACTGTCATGGCCACCACCTCAACCTACCGGGCTCAGGCAATCCTTCCTCCTCAGCCTTCCAAGTAGCTGGAACTACAGGCATGTACCACCACACCCGGTTGGTTTTTTAAATTATTGTAGAGACGAGGTCTTGCCAAGTTGCCTAGGCTGGTCTCGAGCCCCTGGGCTCAGGCAGTCCTCTCTCCTCAGCCTCCCAAAGTGCTGGAATTACAGGTGTGAGCCACTGCACCCAGCTGGAATTCTCATTTATCACTGATATACCTTACTATAGTTGAATTATATTACAATAAGATCTGCTAGTGTATACTCAGAGAGAGTATATACTTTGAGCTATAGTTGTTCAAAACACCTAGGAATATGTATATATATATATATATATATATATATATTTTTTTTTTTTTTTAATTTCTTACTCATTTCGGAGTTTGAAAAATATAGATCTTTCACCAAGGTGAGAAAGAAAGAAATTCCAGTTCGTAACAGGGAAGCATGACAATGGCGGAATAGTCTAATTCAAATATAACTTCTTTTTACTTTACCTGATTCTGGATCAGAAACCAGATTGAGGATTTTTCCAGGTTCTGAGTCAATGTTGAAACAAACATTAGTTTGGCTTTTTGGTAGGTAAATGATGAAATGTGGGTCATTTTCAACTGGAAAATATACAAAGAAAATGAAAACAAACAGAATCATAAAAAGGAAGATGACTTTGAACAGTACTTTATTCCTGAACACTTTTTTTTTTTTTGAGTCACGTTTTCACTCTGTCGCCCAGACTGGAATGCACTGGCGTGATCACAGCTCACTGCAGCCTCCTGGGCTCAGGTGATCTTTCCACCTTAGCCTCCTCAGTAGATGGGACTACAGGCACGTGCCACCACACCCAGTTAATTTGTTGGTTTTTTTGGTAGAGACCAGGTCCCACTAGGTGGCCCAGGCTGGTCTCAAACTCCTGGGCTCAAGCAATCCTCCTGCCTCGGTCTCCCAAAATGCTGGGATTACAAGAGTGAGCCACCACTCCTGGCCTCAATCACCTGTAATTTAACCAGAACAAATATTTAGTGTGTTTCTCTGATATCCTAGGTACTGTTCTAGGTTTGGGGGACATGGTAGCTCATACCCATTGTTCCTTTGTCATGGATCTTCCAACAGATCTTGGTTATTTTACAAACATAGTTGATATCGATTCTGTAGCTAAATATATATATTTGTGCTAGGCTAGATGCTAGAGATAAAAAATGAATACAAAAGGCACAAGGAATAAGAAATACAAACACACACCCAAGTATATAAGGAATATACATACACACTTGAGTGTGTAGATAGATAAATAAATAGAGGTGTTTTTTGTTTTTGTTTTTGTTTTTGAGTTGGGGATCTCACTCTGTCACCCACACTAGAGTGCAGTGGCACACCACAGCCTCGACCTCCTAAACTCGGGGGATCCTTCCACCTCAGTTTCCCAAATAGCTGGGACTACAGGCACACAACACCAAGCCCCGCTTAATTTTTTTTTTTTTCTTTCAGAGACAAGGTCTCACTATGTTGCCTAGGCTGGTCTCAAACACTTGGGCTCAAGCAATCCTCTTACCTCAGGCTCCCAAAGTTCTGGGATTACAGGCACTACACCTGGCCAAAGATGCATTTGTTCCAAGAGCCATATATAGTGCAGAAAAGTAAAGGAGACATAATATTGTTCACATACAGCTTAATATTGATCAATGCCAGGGTCAGTGAAGAAGCCAGCTACTCCCAAGAAAGTGCTCCTTTGTTATTGAACCCTATTCTCCTGGCTAATCCTTTCTGGGCTCGCCCCATCCCACCCCACCCCATTTAACTAGCCAACAAATATTTAATGAAAGGGAGCAAAAATCTATGTGCAAAACATTAAATCAGGCAATGTTTAGTGCAGCTATCAACAAGTCACGGTTGGGACCTTCGGGAGAGTAAATTGCGCAGGGGCAGACGTGATCACTAACGCAAAATGGAATGTAGTGCGTGGTCCTATCGTGGCCCAAGCAAGATGCTGTGCAGCTTAAGATGAAAACCGTGAACCGGCTCTAGGCAAACTGAGTAAGGCCACACGAAGGAGCTGGCTTGTGAACTGAGTCTTGAGGGAGAAGGAGGAGAGGGAACGACAACAGACAAAGAACAGAGACGCTTTACTCTAAGGGGAGAATTTGAGAAAGGTATGGGGGCAGAAAAGCGTATGATCTGTTTAGAAAGGAGCTCAATGTGGCCAGAGGGTATGCTCTTGAAGAATGCAGGAAAAAGAGAAGACTGAAAATGTAGATCAGGCCGGGTGTGGTGGCTCACACCTGTAATCCCAGCACTTCGGGAGGCCAAGGCAGGAGGATTGTTTGAAGCTAGGATTTTGAGACAAGCCTGGAGAGCATAACAAGACCCTATCTTAATTAAAAAATATATATATATATATATAATTTTATTTTATTTTATTTTATTTTTTGACTTGGAGTCTCACTCTGTCGCCCAGGCTGGAGTACAGTGATATGCTCCCGGCCACCGCAGCCTCAACCTGCTGGACTCAGGTGATTCGTCCTCCTCAGCCTTCCAAGTAACTTGAACCACAGGTGCACACCACCACAACCGGCTAATTTTTTGACTTATTATAGAGTTGAGGTCTTGCCAAGTTGCCCAGGCGGGTCTTGAATCCCTGGGCTCAGGCAATCCTCGCACCTCTGCCTCCCAAGGTGCTGAGATTACAGGCACAAGCCACCACAACCCAGCCTATAACATATTTTTTTTTTATTAATCAATATTTTTTATTATGGTTTTGTGGGGTACATATTTTATATATTTATTTGTTTGTTTATTTATTTGAGTCAGTCTTACTCTCGTCCAGGCTGGAATGCAGGGGCACACTCACAACCACCGCAGCCTCAACCTGCTGGGCTCCAGTGATGCTTCCGCCTCAGCCTTCCAAGTAGCTGGCACTACAGGCGTGCGCTACCACGCCCTGCTAGTTTTTTATTTATTGTAGAGATGCGATCTCACCAAGTTGCCCAGGCTAGTCTTGAACCCGCAGACTCAAGCAATCCACTCACCTCGGCTGCCAGGAGATATCGTGATTGTGCCAGCGCACTCCAGCCTGAGTGACAGAGTAAGATCCTGTCTCCAAAAAAAGAAACTTTGTTCTGTGTTTTACTAGTACAGCGGCTTCTAGTGTGAGGCTGAGCTACCAAGCCAGGCCTAGTAAAAGCTTTTAAGAATAAATTCCTGGACAACATAGCAAGACCCTGTCTCTACAAGAAAATGAAAAAGGAAAAAATAAATAAATATAACATGCTTTGACTCTCATTTTAGGAAAATGATTGATGGCAGTACAGGTAAGAATTGAAGAGTAGACACAGGAGGATCACATAATCCAGGCAAGAAATGTTAAATTCACCCCACCAGCCTCACACCCTGCAGCCAACACATTTGATTAGTTGATTTGTGTTGGAACTGAACACTCGAAGCCATTGTAGGAGTGAAACACAGAACAAAGTCTCTTTTTTTTTGAGACAGGATCTTACTCTGTCACTCAGGCTGGAGTGCACTGGCATGATCGCGATGTCTCACGGCAGCCTCGACCTCCTGGACATGAGTGATCCTCCTGTCTCAGTCTCCTGAGTAGCCAGGACTACAGGCACACATCACCACTACCGGCTAATTTTTTTGTGATATATTGTAGAGACAAGGTCTTGCTATGTTGCCTAAGCTAGTCTTGAACTCCTTGAAGCGATTCTCCCACCTTAGCCTCCCAAAGTGCTGGGATTACAGGCGTGAGCCGCAGCACCCAACCAAGGCTCTTTTTAAAAAAAAAATCTAGGACGGACTCGGTGGCTCAGACAGTAATCCCAGCACTTTGGGAGGCAGAGGCGAGTGAATTGCCCAAGTTATATAATGACATCCTCTTCCTTCCCCTACATAAGACATTTTGTTTGAATAAATTTGCTTTCATTAAAGACAATGACTAGTTGTGCCATTTTAATTAACCAAGATCCCACCAGTCAGGCCTTCTGATAAGCAACCAGGAATCGGTGCCGCCATGTAGAGTTGATATGATTCTAGGCAACGGAAATGACGCGTGTTTAAGTTGGTTGGTGCAGCTTGAAATGTTGACATAACTTTATCTCAACATTATTTTTTTGAGTGAGGGTCTCTGTTGCCCGGGCTGGAGGGATCTGGCACAATCACAGCTCACTGCATCCTCAACCTCTTGAGTTCAAGTGATCTTCCTGCCTCAGTCTCCCAAGGAGCGGGGACTACAGGTGTGTACCACCACACCTGGCCGAAAGCAGATTGAGGAAGGACCTCATGACTAACCTCACAGACCCGAGAGCTGAGATTTATGGGCAGAACACCAGCCAGTGTCTATTGAGCTTCTAAAAGGTATGTGGGGGTGGCGGACTCGGTGGCTCAGCCCGTAATCCTGCGCTTTGGGAGGCCAAGGTGAGTGAATTGCCTGAGCCCGTGGGTTCAAGACCCGCCTGGACAACTTGGCGAGACCTCATCTCTACAATAAATAAAAAAAAATCAGCCGGGCGTGGTAGCGCATACCTGCAATTCCAGCTACTTGGAAGGTTGAGACGGAAGAATCGCTGGAGCCCAGCAGGTGGAGGCTGCGGTGACCGGGAGCGGCCACTGCACTCCAGTCTGGGCGACAGAGTGAGACGCCAACTCAAAAAATAAAAGGTATGAGGAGCTTACCTTATGACCACCCTACAAAAGAGTTATCATTATCCCCATTTTAGAAGTGGGCTGACTGAGCCCTAGAGAGGTTTCAAGGTATGGCCCAAGGTCCTGAAGGGAGAGTTTGACCCCAGGACTCTCTGGCTCTCAAAGGCCTTGTCCCTTTCACTGTGTCACTCAGTAGAGACTAGAAACTTAGAAGCAGCACTCCATTTTTCCTGGGAAGAATACTTTAAAATTAAATAACTTTATCTCAACATTATTTTTTTTGAGTCAGGGTCTCTGTTGCCCAGGCTGGAGGGATGTGGCACAATCACAGCTCACCACCTCCTCGACTTCCTGGGTTCAAATGATCCTCCTGCCTCAGTCTCCCAAGACGCTGGGACTACAGGCGTGCACCACCACACCTGGCTAATTTTTTTTAATTTTTTGTAGAAATGAGGTTTTGATATCTTGCCCAGGTTGGTCTCGAACTCCTGGGCTCAAGCAGTCCTCCTGCCTTGGCCTCCCAAAGTGTTGAGATTATAGGTGTGCACCACAATGTCTGGCCTAAATTAAGATTTTTAAAATACATGATTGAAAATGAACAGAAAAATAAGGCGTAGTCATACAGAAAATGATATTAAAGCATTTTGTATTATAAAATGTATACCTCCTAATTTTTAGTAATAATATCCATCTCTTGAGGGACTATTATGTGCTCAAGAGATGGATCTACATTTAATCAACAACCTAACTGTCAATGGGTAGACAAGCATCATAAACCTCTTTTCTTTTCTTTTCCTTTCCTTTCCTTTCCTTCCTTCCTTCTTTCCTCTCTGCCTTACCTTCCTTTCTCTCTGCCCGCCCTCCCTTCCTTCTTTCTTTCCTCCCTTCCTTCCTTCCTTTCTTTTTGAGTAGGGGTCTCGCTCTGTCACCCAGGCATAGTCATGGCTCACTGTAACCTCCAACTCCTAGTCTCAAGCAATCCTCCCGTCTCAGCCTCCTGATTAGCTGGGACTACAGGCAGGCACCACCACATCCAGCTAGCTTTTAGATTTTTTGTAGAGCCGAAGTCTCACTATGTTGACTTTTTCAACATGAAGGAAGCAAAGTGCAGAAACACTGGCTTACACCAGTTCACACAGATGGTGGGCGTGCCAAAGATAATGCTCTATCTGCTGATACTCCATTGGCCATCCTGCATGAGAGAAGCATGTCTTCCCTTCAGAAGGGTTACCTCGTACAGTCGGAAAAAAGCTTTAGGTTGAATTGTCCCCTTCAAAATTCGTATGCTGAAGCCCTGACCCTCAGGGTGATGGTATTCACAGATGAGACCTTGGGAGGTCATTTGGGTTAGATGGGTGATGAGAATGAGATCCTCAAGATGGGACCAGCGCTCTTATAAGAAGAAATACCAGCTGGACTGGGTGGCTCAGACTGTCATCCCAGCACTTTGGAGGCCAAGACAGGCAGATCGCCTGAGCCCAGGAGTTGGAGACCAACCTGAACAATATAGCAAGACCTCGTCTCTACAAAAAAAATCATGAAGTTAGCCAGGTGTAGTGGCATGCACCTGTAGTCCCAGCTACTCAGGAGGCTGAGGTGGAAGATCACCTGAGCCCAGGAGTTGGAGGCTGTGACCGGCAGTGATCGTGCCACTGCATTCCAATCTGGGCAGCAGAGTGAGACCCTGACTCAAAAAATAAATTAATTTAATTTAATTTAAAAAGAAGAGACACCAAAGTTCTTTATGTCCTTCCCCTCCTCACCATATATACACAAAGAAGGGAACACATAAGAGCCCGGCAAGATGGCAACTACCTACAAACCGAGAACAGAGGCCTCAGAATGAAACCTACCCGGCCCACACCGTGATCTTGGCCTTCTCAGCCTCCACAGGTGTGATTCACACATGTCTACTGTCTAAGCCGCCCGTTCTGTGGGGCTTTGTTGTAGCAGCCCAGCAGTTAACACATGGGGCTATCTTCTTCCCACGGGAGGGAGCCACGCCCATGAAAGGCACTGGGCTTACCAGGACACACACAAGTGCTTCCCAGGATTATGATCAGCTGGGCTCTGGCCCCTGCAAGCGGGGTGGAAGCTCTTACCTGTGGTCATGTGCGTGGGGGGCGTGGACTCCAGCACGCGAGCCCCTTGCGCAAACAGGGGGGCCGCTGTCACTGGGGGAGTGTGGGCCCAGGACGGGACTGACCCCTGGGCCACTTTGCTGCCGTAGTACAGGGCGCCTGTGTAGAAAAACCCGCATCCATCAGTGCCCGGTTGCCGTTTTCCAAGGAAGTTACTTGCCATTTCACGTCTGTTTCGTGCAGCCCCAGAGTAGTCAGCCAAGGCTTTACTGCTCCTGCTTTTGTGCCGGTGTTCCCTGTCCTCTGGCTGCCTCTGGCATCGTGCTGGGGGAGGGGCTGTGACATGGTTCTTTCAAGAGTCTGGAAACTGAGCGAGGGTTGCCGTGGGAGGAGGCTCTCTAAAGGGCTGGGGAAGGGCCTGGCACCTTCAGCAGAGACCAGGGACGCAAGTCAAGGAGGCGTCTCGTCTCGTCTCAGAGGACTGTGGCCTCTACACTCACCAAACAAGTTGGGCGGATTAGTTTCCCAAAGAAGTGTCCCTACTGGTGAGAGAAGTTTTACATGGCAGACAGACGAAAGAAAGAGTGAGAGCGAGAGCGAGAGAGAGAGAGAGAGACAGACAGACAGAGAGAGAGAGAGAGAGAGAAGGAGAGAGAGAGAGAGAACAAAAAAAGCAAAAAAAGCAAAAACAAAATGAACCACTTGCTTTCCTTCCTTCCTTCCTTCCTTCCTTCCTTCCTTCCTTCCTTCCTTCCTTCCTTCCTGGGTCTCACTCTACTGCCCAGGCTGGAGTGCAGAGGCATGATCATAGCTCACTGCAGCCTTGACCTCCTGGACTCAGATGATCCTTCTGCCCCAGCCTCCCAAGTAGCTGGGACTATAGGTGCACACCACCGCACTCGACTAGTTTTTTTATTTTTATTTCTTGTAGAGACGGGGTCTGGCTATGTTGCCTAGGCTGCCCTCGAACTCTGACCTCAAGCAATCCTCCTGCGTTGGCCTCCCAAAGTGCAGGATTACACGGAGGAGCCACTGCACCAGGCCAGGATGAAAAATTATTATTATTTTTTTTGAGTTGGAGTCTCACTCTGTCGCCCAGACTGGAGTGCAGTGGCACGCTCCCAGCCACCACAGCCTCGACCTTCTGGGCTCTGGCGATCCTTCCACTTCAGCCTTCCAAGTAGCTGGAACTACAGGCGTGCGCTACCACACCCGGCTCATTTTGATTTATTGTAGAGATGAGGTCTCGCCAAGGTGCCCGGGCGGGTCTCGAACCCGCGGGCTCAGGCAATCCACTCACCTCAGCCTCCCAAGGTGCGGGATTACAGGCTGAGCCACCGAGCCCGGCTGACCAGGATGAAAAATTTTAATGTTGATTTCAAAAATATCGGAGGGAGGAGGGTACACAGGTTTTTGACATTCCACTTGGAGACCTGTGAGCAGAAATGTTTGCAGATCACAGCCATCAACCAATCTGCAGTGAGCTGGTAGGAAGAGCCCGGGCACAGGGGGTGGCAGG